GCCCCCAAAGGAAGCTCCGACTCTTCTTTTCAATATCATGCATGAGTTTTTCTGGCAGCAAAAATGTTTGGATATAGTAGGACGGGAGCGCTGAGAGGACGACCTTCATCAAAGTAGCCCTTCCAGCCATATTGAGGCAATTTTTTTCCTAACCTGAAAGCCTTTTTTGTGTTTTTTCAAGGACTGGGATGAAAAGTGCATAGGAGACCCTTTTGTGTATAAGGGGAATCCCCAAATATTTGCCCAAATCCCCTGTGAGTCCCATACCCATCTTCCTGCTCAATTCCAACTCTCTTATAATGTGCACATTCTTAGAAAAGCATATCTTAGTCTTCGTGAAGTTCATTTTCTGACCCGAAGCTTGACAGAAGCCATTCAAGCAATTGAGCATAGTTTCCACTTGAGAGCCTGAAGCCTCCCCAAAGAGAATAAGGTCGTCTGCAAAAAACAGGTGAGAGATCTTTGGGCCTCCCACATTTATTTGAATTGGTTTCCATCTACCTTCTTCCACTACATCCCGAATTATGTGGTTCAGCAGTTCCATACATAAAGTGAAAATGTATGGGGATATCAGGTCTCCTTGTCTTATGCCTCGATACGAATGGAAAGAAGCTGTTTGTTCTCCATTCCACATCACTTGAAAAGAGGAGCTAGATATACAAGCCATAATTAGGTCACACATTCTCCCCTGCACACCAATAGCCTGCAAAGTTTCTTCAATGAAATGCCACTCAAGTCTATCGTAACTTTCTCTAAGTCTACCTTAACTGCAAGCCATCCCTTATTCCCTTTCTTCAATCTCATTGAATGGATCACTTATTGTGCAATAATAATATTGTCACTGCTTTGCCTACCCTTAATAAAGCTGCATTGATGTTGTCCCACAACCTTGTTCATGAACCCTTTCAATCTTCTACTGATTATTTTGGTCACTACTTTATAGCTCACATTTCACAATGAAATGGGTCTAAAATCCTTCATCGTTTCTGGCTGGTCATTTTTTGGAATAAGGACAATGTTGGTGTTATTTAGTTTCTCTACTCTGGACGGTTCTTGAAAAATGCCCTTGACCATCTCACATAGAGAGTCACCGATTACCTGCCAATATTCATGGTAAAAAAAGGCTTGAATCCCATCTGGTCCCGTGGCTTTAAAAGCACCCAGATAAAAAAGGCTTGCTTAATTTCTTCATTTGTAACCTCTGCAGACAATTGTAGGGAGTCTTGTAGAGATATGCTAGGAAAGCCATTATTGGTCCTTAACCAAACACCATCAGTTCTATTGCTACAAAACAGGTCTCTGTAGTACTCCATCACCCTAGCCTTCAACTCCTCTGGATTAAAACACCACTCTCCGTCTTCATTTTTGAGACCCTCAATTCTATTCTTTCATTTTCTAATGATGGCTGAAGCATGAAAATACTTGCTATTCCTATCCCCCTACTTTAGCCAATTGCATTATGACTTTTGAAACCATATCAATTCCTCTTGTGCCAAGACTTTATGGTACTCATTCCATAGTTCTTTCTCCAGCTGAACTAAATATTGATTGTCTCTTCTGGTTCTGGCTCTATCAATGCCCTCAATTCTTCTCAGGAGAGCCTTTTTCTTAGCTGGTAGGTTACCGATCTTTATTCTATTCCAGTCTCTGGCTTCCTTTGCAAACTGTTGAACTTTATCTGTCTAATCTACTTTTTCCCAGGCCCTCTTCACAACATCAACAAATCCCTCCTCCAGTAACCAAGCCGCATTACATTTGAAGGGAGGTTTTTTTCTCTGCATGTCATGGTCCAGTCTACACTTTAGGAGCAACGGCCTATGGTCGGACCCATATCTACTCAGGTGGTGTGTTTTCCCTTCAGGAAATAACAGATTCCAATCTTCATTCCCAAAGGCCTAGTCAATTTTTTCTTTGATATTATTCCTTTCCCAAGTGAATTTGTCCCCCACCATGTCTAACTCTATCAAACCAGAATGATGAATACAATTATTAAAGGTTTGCATTGATCTAAAATTTGGAGTAGCATCACCTTTTTTGTCTTCACTAGATAAGTAAGCGTTAAAATCTCCTATAACTAACCATGGACTAGATGTATTTGTGCTCAAAGTCATCAAGTCTTCCTAGAGAAAATTTCGAAGAATACCACAAGGTTCAGCATAAACACAGGTAATATAAAGTTCCTGTTGTGAATCGCTGCCTACCACTCCAAGGTGGAGAAATTGGGTAGAGGAAGCAATGTAGCGAATTGTAAAGTCTTCCTCCTGCCAAAGAACCCAAATACCCCTTGCAAATCTAGTAGCCTCAAGTCTGATCCACCTATTATAACCTAGACATCGAATGATTTTGTCAGCTTTCACACCACTGATGCGAGTTTCTATCAGGACTAGAATATTCACATTCCTCCCTTTTATCAAATCTCGGACAATACCAGGAAATAATTTTGAGGCTGCTCCGTGGCAATTCCAAGCCATCAAATTCATTATTAAAATAGAAGTTAACAAAAGGGAGGACTGAGCAGTACCTTCTTACAGTGTTGGGCCGACATTGGTCAATTTCTCATCATCCTCTTCCGCCTCCTTGACATCATCTTGCGTTTCGTACCAACAATCATTCCCTTCCCCTGTATCTTTTTCCTGATTTCCAGAGCCTATCAGAAGCTCCGTATTCGGTCTCATTGTAGGGTATGAAGACAATATTTTTCCGATATGTGGTGATCAGGCACCTTCGTTTTGTCTATGCCCGAACCTAGTTTTATATTTTCCTTTATTGGTTGAAGTCAAGTGGTCTAGTGTGCAAACGTGACCCAACAACCAACTGGTGGGCTCTTGTGGATGCTGGTTTCCTCTTGAGTACCGGTGAGACTATCTTGGGCCTCGTGGCTTGCCCCCTTTTTTTGCTCTCTGTTTTCTTCCTATTCTGTCCTCTTAACACTCCACTTGGTCCATTTGAAACTGGGCTTATCTCAGGGCCCACAACATCATTATTTATATTCTCCCTATTTTCCTGGCTTTTCCTATGTTCATTCAACGTCTTCCTCCTTTCATCAACATCCGACGTCATCTCTCCTTGCTTCTGCTTCCCTTTTAATCTTTGCTCAGACCCTAATGATGTCTCCTTAACTTGTTTCTCTTTCTTTCCAGCATTCTCTTTACCTTTTGGTACATCCTCTTTGACAACTTTCTTTTTCCATTCCTTTATCATTTCCTTTTCTTTTGTTTTGAGTCCTATAGCTTGATCTGTTGATGTGACTGGCTCCCCTAAATTGCGCAACACATCATATCTTGACCCCAGCTTAGTCTTCTGCTCTTTTGCCATAGGTCTGCTAGTAGTACCCACTTTTTCCTGACTTCTCCCTTCTACCTCCGTTCTTGGGTACCTAGCTTTGAAAGTTTTTGTTGCTTTCATCCATGGACCGTACGGTTCAACAGAGGTCACCCCTGGCACACTGAACAAGTTGTTCTTTTCCTTGTTGAAGTTCTCCGGTTGATTGACTTTTATGGCGGAATCTCTCTTCTCCGTCGATTCCTGCCCCTTCTCACCATTCAAGGGGCATCTCTCCTGGCTGTGACCATATAACCCATACTTGAAGCATATCACATCTAGTCCTTCATACTCGACCGTATAGATGGTTCTCCGAATGACAAATCTGGATTGGAGTTTTTTTATTCAGATCAACCTCTACACTAACCCTTGTAAACTTCCCTCGTTCCACTGTATGACTGCTACTGCTGTTTGACTGGGCAAGCGTATTCATGTCAGCTTTCAAAGCTTTCCCAATCATGTTGCCTAATTCCCACATACATTCTTCTGAATAACAATGCATTGGCAACGTAGGTACTCTAATCCAAATCGCTACTTTCCTCACGTTATTCCAGTAGGGATTAAAATTTGGACTCTATCTTTGCATTGCTATATAGCGTCCCTGATATAGCCAATGACCATCAAGCATCAGTTTACGGCATAAGCTTTTATCTTCAGATCGGAGCACAAAATAGTTATTGGGTAAATCAATCAGTTCAAAGTTTTTTGTTCTGAAAAGCCACCAAATTCTGTCCCTCATGCCTTTCAGATTAGCAACTCCTCCTAGAATAGTGAGAATAAGTGCATCCTTCTAAGGCCAACAAAGTTCTTGCTACCTTGCATCATCCATATTTAGTTTGGTAGTGAGTCCATTAGTCTTTTTCCTCATCAGTTAGAGAAGGCGTGACCTCTTCTTCCTCCTCCAGCCATTCTTTCATCTGTTCTTCCAAGTCTCTATCCATCTCTTCTTCATTTTGCCCCAGGAGTTTACTTTTGTAAGATATTTGAGACTTTCCTTCCTGTTTGGCTTTTTCTGGGGGTTGTGGGTTCTCATACTGGTTCTTAGACCCTTCAGTTTCATCCATTTTAACATCTCTATCTGTTTGCCCCCTTGTTCTGGGATAGGAACTTCCCTTCTCCAATATTGGTTCATCCTCCCATCGATGCTCCTTCCCTCCGTTAGGAGGTTTCCCTTGATTGATCGGAAACCTCTGTTGCACACCCTCACTCTCTGTTTCACTCTCTCGCTCTAACATTCTTGCACTTCGTCCCTCGCTTGTCTCATATACTTTTATTTTTTGTTTTGTTAGTTATTGGTCCCTTAAATTTCAAACCATAGATTTTAGTTTCTTAGGTTTCTTTTCATTTAAAACATTGGTCTTTACAATCTAGTAAAAACTTGGATCATTTTACTTCGTGAAGGATCAAAACCTATAGTTTAAAATTTAAGGGATTAAAACAAAAATAATTACAAATTTGACGGATCAAAAGATTATATTAACTTTTTTGAAAAAATAATAAAGGTGGAAGAGGAATCTAGCAGAAAAAAGATAGGAGTTTCATTGAGATTTAGGTCCAAAGACCGAAGCAAATATATATATGTGATGCGTCCGGAAAATGACGATGCAATTTTCTTTCCCAGGGACAAGCGCACCAGAACAATAAGTACATATTTTGCCCGAATCACCAATTAAATTTGTTGCCGTTTGTTAGTTCTTACGTAAATTTTCTGTGATGGAAGAAAATTGTGTTGACTTTTTCCTCCGGCAAAAGGAATCAGAGAAAAAAAGGTTTGTGATCCCAACTTTTATCAGAAACTGAATGTGCGATCTTTTCTAGGGACGGTAGGCTTCATAGTCAGCAAAGCCACTTTGTCTCTCCTCTTTCCCTCAAATGTATGGAGGCTAGCTTGACACCAAGCTCCCATGGCATGTGCTTTGTGTTATCCTTTCTGGTTGGAAAATAGAATACATAATTTAAGAGCATCTCTGTACAGGTGCTTGGCGAGGAAAATTTGTTCAGAAGCTGACCTGGGTTGGTCCTGAAATATTTTATTGCCTTTTTTAACTATCCCCAATTTCTTAATTCTTAATCCATCCCAAGAAATTAGCTTTTTTTAATCGAAGGTTTCGGTTTAGATTATTGGGTTTACAGTTCATACCTTGTCATCAGTACGCGTATCGTATCTGAGTTGATATCTTCCGTTCTTCTCCTCTGTGTATTTGCTTACTTCGCAGTCAGATCTGCATCTTGTTTTGCGGGGCACGCAGACAGACATTCTCACGGGTAATTCAGCTACATTAATTCTTTTGTTGGGAATTTTTACTCTGTTTGGTTGCTTTAAAAACCATGTCACAAACCTCAAGTTTCTTCTTTCTCGAAATTAAAATAAGTAGTGATGACCTTGGAACTTCAAATGTCATTTCCCATAAAGTTCGGTCGAAGGCAAAGTTTGATGAAACAAATTGTTGTTACACTTGTAGTCTAGTATGCTTTATCAGTTTGGTTTTACTTTAGCCTAATTATTGCTGGAGATCAGTTTGTAATGGATCGATCCTAGCTTGACAACTTCGTTTCTGATGAGTGCAGATCAAGTTGGATGAAGTTGATCTGAAGCCAGTTTCGTTTTTTTGTTTTTCTGCAAATTACTGGGTGTTGCTGATTTCTTTGTGTAGTGTGCTGTAGTGTCCTCCTTTGGAGTTCAAATATGCTTGTGAGAAAGAGAGCTTACTAAATTTGAGATCTCGGTCCGAGAAAAAGGTTTTGGTGGCCAAGATATGGCGTCTGGTGGAGGGAGGCGTCATCATCGTAATCTTGTGCCTCTTGCTGCATTGATAAGCAGGGAGATGAAGAGTGAGAAGATGGAGAAGCCCACAGTGAGATATGGACATGCTGCACAGTCTAAGAAAGGGGAAGATTACTTTTTAATAAAGACTGATTGTCAGCGAATACCTGGAAGTTCTTCATCACCATTTTCTGTATATGCGGTATTTTCTCCATTTCTGTCTTATATTTTTTTTTGCCACATGCTCTGTGTGAAAGAGCAACTGCCAGTTTGAGGATTACTGGTTTTTCGGTTCTGGTTTGTATGAGTGGAAAATTCATATATCTTTTGACTCGAGAGTGTAGGGACAAATGTTCAGATCGTAGATTTGATTTGTGTGCCAAAGTGAATATTTGTTAAGGAAAAGGACATCATCTTTTGAGATGGTTGCTAATGTATTCCATTTTTGCAGATCTTTGATGGTCACAATGGAAATGCTGCAGCAATTTTTAGCAGAGAAAATTTGTTAAATCACATTTTGAGTGCCCTTCCTCAACGTATTGGAAGAGAGGAGTGGCTTCAGGCATTACCTAGGGCATTGGTTGCTGGGTTTGTGAAGACTGACAAGGAGTTTCAGAGCAGAGGTGTGGAGTTATGGCCCTTATTCCCTTTCCTCCCTCCCCTTGATGACGGAGGGAAATGAAATATGGAACAGGAAGACCTGGCATTAGATTATTCTTATCTAATTTGTGTCCTATCTGGTTTCCTCCAGGAGAAACTTCTGGCACTACAGCAACATTTGTGATAGTTGATAGATGGACTGTGACGGTAGCATCTGTTGGAGATTCCCGTTGCATACTAGACGCCCAAGGTGGCCCTATTACTAACTTAACTGTTGATCACAGACTTGAAGAGAATATTGAAGAGTATGATTTTATCTCTCGGCCTTACTTGGTTATTTTGTTCTGTGTGCGCATGGTAATCACTTGCACTGTCTGTATTTGCAGGAGAGAACGTATTACTGCAAGTGGAGGTGAAGTTGGAAGGCTTAGTATTTGCGGTGGTGCTGAGGTGGGAACATATTATCTTAATATCCCCTTTTGCTTCTAAAAACTGAAAAAAAAAAAAAAAAAAGGAAGAGAGAACTCAATCATTTTTCTTTTTCTTTGCTTTTTTTTTTTTTTTTGGCTTATCCTCTTATCCTCTTTCTCTCTCTTTTCCTCTTCCATGTTAAGTACTTCATATCTTGCATATCCAATCATTATCTTTTTGAAGGTAGTGTTTCTGAATCATTTCAGATTGGTCCTCTTCGTTGCTGGCCAGGGGGTCTGTGCCTTTCTCGGTCAATTGGAGATGTGGATGTAGGGGAGTTTATAGTTCCAATACCGTATGTCAAACAAGTGAAGGTATCATTATTTGGAGATAATATCTTCTACTTTCAAGCTTTGTTTCTTAAACCTACGCGTGCTGTTAGGTCTGTCTTCAGGATGAAACCTGACACTACTCCTATATTATAGCTGTCAAATGCTGGTGGGAGGCTTATAATTGCTTCTGATGGCATCTGGGATGCTCTATCCTCAGAAATGGCTGCAAAATCTTGTCGGGGTTTGCCTGCTGAACTTGCTGCTAGGCAGGTTGTGAAGGTAACGTGCTTCAAAATGCTTTCTGCTAATTTTTATCAAGCCAATGTTTCTTTTAGCCTGAGGTTTGACTTAAGATTCATGTTGAACATATCTGACATTTGTGCTCATATTCATATATGCTTAAGCCTGTAATTATTTCCCTTGTCATTCAGGAAGCATTAAGGACAAGAGGTTTAAGGGACGATACAACTTGCATAGTAGTTGACATAATTCCTCCTGATACTGGAGTGCCACCGCCTCCTCCCCCCAAAAAGCAGAGTAAATTGAGAGCTTTACTGTTCAGGAAGAAATCCAGTGATTCTGCTAGTAAGCTGTCAAAGAGGCTTGCAGCTGTTAATATAGTAGAGGAATTGTTTGAAGAAGGATCAGCAATGCTCGCTGAAAGGTAATCTCGCATTCTTTGAGGGAAAAATTTTAATTTTTGGAGGGATCATACGAATCTCATGACAATGACTCGCATCATGGTTTCCTTCTTCGAACATCTGTTTGCCCCGTGAGATTTTATGCTGTTAAAAGTGATGGCTAACATTTGCTTGAAGTTTGAGATAAGGAAAAAGAAGAGAGACAGATAAAAGAAAGAGGATGATCTTTTCAAAGGAACAGAGAGAGAGAGAGAGAGAGGAAGTCGCCCCAATTTTTGAGCAGTTTCGAATTAGAGCTGGATTTTAGGTGTGATTTTAACATGCAGATTATAAACTTTTGAAATAGAAAACTTGCAAAGGGCCTTTATCTTCTCTCTTTTATAGGGCCTCATATTTTTATCACTGAACCGTGCGTTCTCGTGTAAGCCTAAGCATGTTACGTTTGATAAATAATTGAGTATTCATGGATTCTTCTTCCACTTAGTCCTACTTTGGATTCTATTCCTCTTATAGCTCTGCAACTTGCAAGCTAATCTCAGATGTCAGAATGTTCTGAAATTGCAATTTGATGAGAGTATTATGATTTTATTCGCCCAACAACTACGCCTGACTATGTTCTTCTAATTTTCCCAGATTTCCATTGAACTCTTGTCGGATATTTGCTATCAAGTTTTTCAACAAAAAACTTGATATCTGAACATGACATATTAGATGTTCATCACGTGATTTACTGGTCTGAAAACTATTCCTCCATGAATTACATTTTCATTATACAGCCTACTAGTAAACGCTTAAATAAGTTCAATTAGGTTTTGTCTATTGTTCTTAGACTCTTTTCATATATCTTCTTTTTTCACGCATATCTTTTTCATTGTTATTTCATAAATATGAAAATTTAAGCAAATGTTGCAGATTAGGGAACGAAGGGAATTCAGGGGAATCAACCTCTGGGATTTTTGTGTGCGCAGTGTGCCAGAAAGATATTGCTTCAAGTGAAGGCATATCTGTTCATGCTGGCTCCATTTTCTCTACCACCACTAAGCCTTGGCAAGGCCCCTTTCTTTGCGCTGATTGTCGCATCAAGAAGGACGCCATGGAAGGCAAGCGTCCTAGCGGAATTAGAGTCTCGTAGCTTTTCTTTACCTATTCACTCTCATTTCCCCCCGTTTTTCTTGTAGTTATGATTTTTATAGGTCAAATAATTGCTTAGATCCCACTATTAAGTAGTGACGGATGTATATGTATGAACTTAGAATCGGGAATATGGGTCAGCCCCTCCTACAATGTGGTCCTATAGGCCTAAAATTTTAGAAATATCTTGTTTTGCTTGACTCCCTGCAGGTTTTTAGCCTGTTTTAAAAAATATAATTTTTTATATTTTTTTATATGTTTTATCAAAAATAATAAAAATAAAGCAATGAAATTATTAATAAAAAGTATAAATATGAATAAAATTAAGTCATAAACACAACATCATCATATCTAAATATCAACATCCAAGATCATTTAAAATATCCATCAATAGGATAATATTATTAAAAAGTTTCATCAATGATGCAAAAGTGCAATAGAGAAATATTATCAATTTTTTGAAACTTTCTTATGACTATCATCAATTGTGTTTTTTTAGTGGTAAAAATATCAAGTTTTACTTGTTCATAGAAATTTTACTTTTAAATTTTGCAGTCTAGTTATTATTTTACTTTAATTTGAGATATATTATTGTTGAAAGTTATAAATTTCTCATTCAAATTATAGAATTATAAGTTATATAGGTATAAAAATGCTCTCTTATAAAATATATATATAGAGTTTAAAAATATCGACACAGAATATAAATCAAATTATTATTAAAGACTAAATTAACATATTTTTTTAAAAAATTTAATTGAACAAATTATTATCTAAAATGATAATAATAAATAAATATTTGAAATATCATTAACAATGTAAATTATATAAAAAATTAAAAAAACAAAAATTATATATAAAGACTTAAACGGGTTGGTCATCGGCCTTGTAAGGTTAGCTTGTTTAAGCCTTCATTCTTATAAGGTCAACTTTTTTAAGCTTTTTTTTTAAAGAAAAAATTTTAAACCCAATTCTCATAATTTTTAAGCTTAAATGGGTTGTCCTTATAGGTTTGACTTGTTTTTCTGGTTCTATGTATTTTTTTAAGCCTGATTTCCTGGCTCTATGTAGATTCTCAAGTTATTACAAAATGAGCATCGCTTTTAATTTGCAAAAGCTGGATTGAGCTTTGGGAAATTTATTGGTGTCATTTTATAGATGATACACAATGGAGCTTAGACTCACCGGTTAAAATCAAGGTTGAAAAAAAAAAAGGACTTACCTGTTAAAAGTATATCTTATAATCATTAGCGTGGGGTTCACATGCCATGATAGGAAAGCTAGGTTTCTTGGCCGGTACAAACTGAATAGATTTGGATTATTTAGATTTGATTTAAATGGTTTACATTTAAAATTTTTAGTAAATTATGTTTAAATAAAAAATAATTTTTTAAAATAATATTTACAATAATATTTTTATTTTAAATTTTATTCTTATTAAAATAATTATTTTTTAAAAAAATAAAAATAAAAAAAATTGATTTTCAGATTTGAACTAATCAAATTTGATAAGTTTAAGGTGCTCATCATTTTAATAAGCACCTAAACTCTTTTTTTCATCTAAACTCATTTCTTTTTCATCTTCACTGAGTATTGAAATTAAGCTTCACCCACTGTAATTTATAAGACTTCGAAAACATTGGAAATTGTCAGCCATCCAATTGGGGTTTCAATTGGTAGCGTGTTAACCATGTTCGGTATCACTCAAAATTGCTGTGGAAAAAAGAAGTTGAATTCTCTATAAAGGATGCGTACTTCACGATGTCAAAAGGAAAAAAAGCGTCCTTCACAGTTCACACACCCCCCAAATATGCGAAGTCAAAATAAGTTCATAAAATGAAAATCTCTAGAAATGTGGATTTGCACAAAAGGGGAGAAGCACTTGTATCGCCTTCTATGCTGTTCAAAAACCTGTTTCTCTGGCCTAACACGAGTTAATCTAGTCTGATCCTATCCAATCCAGCAAAATTGTAATATTCCTCCAGTTCTTAATATAGAACCTAATTATTGAGTTAATTTTGATTCTAAATATAAGACCTATTTCTCATATTTATCAATTTTTCTTAAATTATCCCTATGAATACTCCTTCAACCATAATCAAGTAAAAGAGGGAGGAAGGATATTAAGAAAGATGATTATAATATTTTAAGGAAAACATGTTATATTTTTTGTAATTAATTAACTTACCTAACTTCTTTAATTTAATCAAATTAATTAAATATGTCTTATATTAAGGACCGGAAGAATATAACGAGATGATTAGACCCATTGGACCAGACTGACTAGTCGGGGTTAGAGTGGACTTCAGACCAAGGCATCAAACTACTTGGTGTGGTCTAACCTGAGGGTGATAATTATTTTTTATATAATAAATAAAATTTTAATGGTCTCTCACTCTCACTTATATGCTGTTGTTTCCCTTTACTCTTCACTTTGGTGTTTCATTCACGGCTCACCCTTAGTCCTTCACCTCAAACATTGCACTGTAAAGCCCTCATATTCTTTAATGACTGTTTGGATTAGTGGTAGAAAAATTACCTTATTTTTAATTTGACTTTTAGAAAAATTAAATTGGGTGATGTGATTTGTGTTTGGAATAACTTTTGTAAATAAGCAATTTTATAAAAGTAAAGTTGTTTGGATTATTATTGGAAAATCAAGTTTAGTTATAAAATGATTGAAAAGGACATGAATGATTGGAAAAGACATGGATTTTATTAAATAATATTAACCCCGGTTCTTAATATAAGAGCTACTTAGAGACTTATAAGACCACAATCTATTTTATCTTATATTTATTCATTTTGTCCTTAAATAATCCCTATGCTAATTACAGATGTTAATGAGATTTCATCAAGGGATAGCTTCAATGCACCTGATTTATGGGATATTTTAAAGAAAACAACATCTATTTATTATAGATAATTAACTTAATTTTTTTTATATTTACAAATTAGTTATCTAGTTCTTATATTAAGAATTAGCATATATATCTATATATTATATTAATATGAAAAATTTGATAATTATGTTTCGAACTAGAAGGAGTATAAATTTGGATATAAGTTAGATAGAAAGATGTGATTTAAGATAAATTTCTTTAAAGTTGGGATCCAAGTTTTTTTCTTTTAATCTTCTCTCTTCACTTTTCAAAAGCCGTGAGCTTCAAATTTTTGTTTGTCAGTTATTGTGGCTTTTCACCCAAAAGTTAAATTGCTCCACCGTCATTACAAACGCTTCCAATTTCAGCCATATTGCACCATTTCGCGTTCTGGCCAAATAAGCTGTTTTTCTCCCACTGAAAGGTGAAAGCAAACAGTCCCTTACTCTCTAATAGCAGTGGCATCACCGTTGGCCGCTCGCCAGCGACATTCACACTTAGCCCCTCATTACTGTCGCACGGCATCGCTCACAAGTTGGGAGTCACCTTAGCGTCATTCACTTTGGTCACGACTAGCTTGTCTCCATTGCTCCTCTCCTGGAGTTGGTTAGATCGCTCAGCCTTGTGGTATCCTCAACACTCATTCCTCGCTCCCTCTCTTCGCATCTTCCTTCTTCAGCATTTAAAATAAATTAAATGTCTCAAATTTAGTTGATTGTGTTTTTTCATTGATAAGTAATTTAAATACTACCTCCGGTCCTAATTATAAGACCCAGTTGACTTATTTGAAGAAATTAAGGAAGTAAGTTAAGTTAGTTATTTGTAATAAATAAGTGTTGTCATTCCTAAAATATCCTTGCTAATTAAGTGTATTGGCTAGAACTATCATTATTAGAAGGACTATCTTGGAAAAAAATGTATAAATATGAGAGAAAAAATAGATTGGGGTCTTATAATTAGGACCAAACAAAAAGTCAAACAGGGTCTTATATTAAGGACCGGAGGTAGTATATCGCAAGAATAATTTAGAATCAGATAGATGAGTGACAGGTTTTTGTACTCCATGGTTGTCTTGTGCTTTGCCTATGAAAGTATGTGTTTGTTATATAAGGACAAAGAAGCGGATACCAAGCAAAATCAAATATTTTTTTGGGAAATGTAACATGATTTTCTCCCCCCCCCCCAATGGCAGTATCAAATGGAGCAATAGCTAGCAATGAATGATTTGTTGATAAGCTCTTGTTAAGTAGGATGTTGCCGAACTTAAGAAGGCAAGCCAATAACAAGAAACAAGAGAGATACTCATGTATTGACAACCTCATGTTATGTCTGTGCTTCCTTGCAATGGGACTATTGGTATATTTTGTTAACATGATTTGATTTATATTTATCTCTTGATTTATTGTCTTTTATTGGGATTTATTATTCCTTTCTCTTGTATATATTGATGTAATCATCTCATTCCATAATACATATAATTTTTATCTCCTTACTCTTCTAACATGATCCATTTTGCTGATGGGCATAAATCAACAGAATACTCTGAATAATTCCATTTTTAAGTTAGGAAGTAAGGATGTGTTTCTTTTTGGAATTTAAGGTCTTAATTGAAATCCATGAACAAAGAATCGGCTTCTAAAATTTTCGTTAGGTGAATGAAAATACAACAAAAGAATGCATCCATGAAAGCTAACTCAACAGAGGAACCTTTGCGAGGATGATAGAGGAGCAGAACCCCACTAATTTGCCAAATCAAGGGGTTTAGGATAAAAAATGATGAAGGAGGTTTAGGGTAGCTGGTGAGCTTCATATGTTAGCATGCAACACAATAGGAAACTTCTTTATCAGAATGAGTGATATCACAATTAAGAATGGCTAAAAAAAAAAGAGAGAGACAAATTATAATGCATAATTGGTCATGATTCTTGACTTTGACACTTAGAGATGAAAGTAGGCTGTGACTTGTCCTGGAGTTGTAAAGAATCAAAAGAATACCGTCAGAAACAAAAATGAGGCATGTCAAGAGGACTTCTATAGTCTATGGTAACTTGACAATAATTAGGATAAAGTTTAAAATACTACCTCTGGTTCTAATTACGACCGGAGGTAGTACATGTTACCGTTGACATATTTGGACGTTAATGTTCGTCGGGGCCATTAGAGTCTAGTTGGGACAAAAACTGATGTGAAAAAGCTGAAGCCCAGATTGAAAGATTACACGCGTGTGGCCACCTTCGGAGAGCAATGGTGGGGCTATTAGGCTAGGCCATT